AATTTTGAATACCGTGCGAGAAGTTGTTGGAAGTTGTTTTGTACTAACCGAAGTTCTGAAAAATGGAGTATTTAAAACATTTTTCTTCTTCCAAGACCCAAAAAATGAAAGATCCAATAATTGAACTAAATGCGAACAATGAGAAGTGTACTTGTGGAGTATAATGTAATACTCTTTGAGTTTTTCTTTTAACGAAATGAAATCATGTCCACTAAATTTGTCAATGGTTATCACGCGGGTGAATCAAATGGCATTTACTGGCAATGCGCTTTAATTGAATGTATGGTACAACTCCATTATTTATCCAGCTATTAAATATTTTTGTTGCAAAACCAGTACCACTATAATAAAATGATGTATTAGAATGTTTTCTTAATAACTCGATATCAATTGATTTGTTTGCGACAACAACGCATAAACATACAACCTCCCCATCAAGACATATCATACATATTACAGTTGTTCTTTTCCCGCTTCTCCGTACGCTAATTTTTATGTTTTGTAATGATACATTTTGTGGTACAAAAACTTTTACATTTTTTTATCACAAAAATCCTGAAACCCAATTTCGTCAATATTAAATACTAGTCTCATATCAATGCCATTATTACGAGCAAGTTCCAAATAATTGTCAACTATCTGAGATGGATCAATTAATAACCTTCCCATATCCTCGGGTTTTCCTATAATACTTTTTAGATTGAAAGTTATTAGAACCCATTTTCTTACTGTTGCAGTGTTAAATGAATTTCCGTTAATTTTTTCCACTAATTTAACAAAAGCAGTAATAGTCAATGCTCTTTTTTCTTTCGCACAAAAATCAATAAATTACTTCGTTTTAAATTCTGTTCTCTTATCAAAATATGTGGGTCTTCCGATTCTTTTTCTTCGATTGGTAATATTATCATTGAACGCTAATCGTTCTTTGTTAACTATAAAATGGTGTACTCCGAATAACACACCCACTGCTCTCAAAGTTACGATTTGTAAATCACCATATAAATTAAATAATGTTTCAATTTGGACTCTTCGAGTTTTCAATTTGAAAAAATCGTTATCATACTCAAACAACTTTAGAATGTTTTTGGCATTTTTTTACATCCTTGATTCCGACTTTCTTTGTTTTGTTTTCTTCTAAAACCAGTGTTGCATTATTTACATTGATTTCCATATCTCGATAACTTGATAGTCCAATAATTAATTCATTTAGTTTTTTGACTTTTTTCTCGATTAGTTGTGGATATTTATCAATGAAGTTTGGAGACATTATTTCAACCAATTTCATAGGCATGATTGTATGAACGTTTGAAAAAGGATTTTGTTGTCCCATCATGTCCGATTCCATTTTTTATTTTTAAGATATTTTTTCAAAATTGTATTGTTTTTTATATATAGTTTTTATTGCTTTTTATGATTGAAAAAAAAGAAAATGTATTAAAATTAATCATAAATAAATATTATATAATTAATACATTTTTATTTATAGAAACAAATTTTAAAATAATTCTGGCACCCAATAAGTTTCTGTCACCCCCTTAAATACTCGATCTGTAAATGAGTAAATTTTGTGAAACTTTGGTTGAACTTTAAGCCAAAATATAAAAAATTAAGTACCACTTTTTATAAATAAGAAAATGAGTTTGATTGGGTCTTTTTTTGTTTTTTGAAAAAAATATAAATTTTGCACGAGGAGAAAAAACATTTAAAATGTTTTTTATAATTAAAACAAACTTAAAATATAGCTTTTGTTTTTTACAAAATTCGTTTCGAAAAGTATTTTCTTTTGACAAAAAGAAGCTCAAAAATGTTCAAAAAGTGAAAAAGAACAATAATGAGCACAACGGACAAGCTTGAAACAGGGTTCATCAAATTATTCCCATAAAAGGTGAGTTAACAATTTCAAGTAAAAAAATCAAAAAATGATCGATTTGATTAAAAAAATGTTTTTTTATTGTGATAAATTTCTGTTTTTTATCAAAATAAACAAGTATTTTATGTTAAAAAATACAAAAATCCTTCGTACAGTAGGAGAAATGAACTAGGATCATTAGAACAATTAGGGCAACTTTAGTAAAAATGTGAAACGGTAAAAAATACATTTTTGGGACAAAACCCTTTATTGGCAATAACATTATTTTAATAACAAAAATTCAAATAACGTTATTCATAAAAGAAAATACCAATAACAAAATCCAAATAACAAAAAAATACAACAATTTGTTTAAATTTTAAGAGGATGTCTTTTTCTCGTCGATCATCACCTCTTATCCCAAGCCACAGCATATTTTGGTTGTTTTAAATGGATTTTAAAACCCAGTTATAGACAC